ACAGGGGATGGAGTACGGAAGCCACCTCCCTTTATTCAGGTCCAATCTCCTCTGTCCCTTCCTGAAAGCACAGTTTCCTTCTAACTGCCCTCCCCCACACATGAGCAAAAGTGGGATCTGATTGGCTTAACCCAATCATTGCCCCCATCCCTTTGGTAGTGTGATGGGTAGGGTGGTGCTCTGTGACCCAAGTTCATCCACTCAGAGTGGCTGACAGGACTCTGTATGACAATGTTGGATCCCAGGCCCTTCTTTCTCTGGACAAGAGGATGTACAGCCTTAGATGTTGAGGACGGTTGTCTTGAGGTCAGAGCACACTCAGAAGAGGGTAGCAGAACAGGGTAATCTACCAAGAAATGACGCCAGGATCCTGTAGACATTGAGATCTGTATCTGTAGCTTCTGTTGGGCATGGTGTCATACACCTGTAATCTCAGTGACTGGGGAGGGAGGCTGAGACAGGAGGATTACAAATTCAAGACCAGGTCAAATTTGAGGTCAGACCTTGTCTCAAAATTAAATAAAAAGGGCTAGGGGTGTAGCTCAGTGATAGAGTGCTCCTGGGTTCAATCCCTAGTACCAAAATAAGCTGGTGGGGGTGGGAGGAGCCCATGAATTACCATCTCCATGTAGACCATCTGAGTGAAATTTTTACTACTGCAACTAAAATTAGATGTTGGTGTTCAAAATATTTAATCAATCAGAACAGATTACAGGCCACAGCTATGAGCCTCAACCATGGAGGACCATGCCGGGTAACAGGGAGGCCTGAGACACTCTGGGTAGAAGTGACAGCAGAGGGAGGCAGCTGACCTGATGGCAGGTCACTCATCCCTTATTCATTCATCTCCTCTGGCCTTCCCGCCTCCATCTGAGTCATAAAGGTCATGATTGCCCCTGAGGAATCCTGACCTGTTTTCCTAGAATAGTTTTCCAGCACATTTCAAATAAACGAAATCACTGGAGGGGTGTGTGAAGTTTTACAACTGGATCCCAACATCAGCACCAGAAATGTGCCTGACATCTTGGATGTTCACTTGAGATAAATCAGGTATATTCTGGCTTGGATGAAAGCCACTTCTGTCCCGATCACTCTACAAGCTCCCTCCCTCTGACCCGCTGAGTCTCACTGCTGTTCTTAAACATGCTTGTTTCAATGGGTCCCCAATACATTTCATCCTGTGCAATTCTGGAACAGATCCAGACACAGGTCTCATGGCACAATTCACTTATGGTAGCTGATTCTTTTGTCGGGGATTTTCCTGGAATAGGATAGGCAAACAGAGAAGCAGCTATTTGCTAATTGGCAACAGATAGATTTAGATTTTTTCTTTTCTTTTTTTTTTTCTTGAGACAGGGTCTCCCCTAAGTTGCTGAGACTGGCTTCATACTCATGATCCTCCTGTCTCCGCCTCCTGAGTAGCTGGGATTACGGGTGTGCACCACCAGGCCCAGCGCTGGATTTTGATATTTTAGCAATCTGAGCAGCTATACTGGAACAAATCAACTGAATATGAACCCCTGTGAGGACTCATGGATGGTCCTGAAATGAGGATTTATTTGAGTCTAAAAAGAAGTAAACATTCAAGCAAAACTGAAACAAAAGCAGGGGCAGGTGACAGGCTGCATTTTTAAAGACAGAGCTAAAGGAGGTGAGGGTTGGGGCAGGTAGTAGACTCAGGTCTATGGTTTCTTTTTCTCGGCTGGCTCCAAATCAGCCTTGTGCTTTTGATCTTGGACCTTGAAGTCATCTACGGAGGGGACCTGGGAGAAAGGCCCAAAATTTGACTGAGATGATACGCTGAAGGCTCTGGAAGAGGTGGCGTAGGTGTAGTAGGATTCCGAGGCGATGATGTTATTGATCCTCCAGCGGAGATGGTTGCAGGCGTTCACCGCGTAGGGCCACAGGAGGCAGAAGAGGATGTAGAGGATCACCATGCCCACAAGCACACTGGCCGACACCTGTAAGCCACACAGCAGGTTTGGATGTGCAGCCTGTGGACTGGACCCCCTGTCCAACCAGCAGGACAGCTCCCAGATCACCACTTACAATGACAATGAAGAGGGCCCGCTTAGCACTGAGTGGGAGCCCATGGATGTGTAGCAAGAAGATGAGCTGGTAGTTGCAGTAGGTGCTGTTGTCCACACCTCTGGTGGAAGATGGAATCCAAGACTCAGGAAGTAGTCAGGCACCCCACAGGATACTCTCAACCCCCATCTGAACCACACATGGCGGGCTCACCTGTTACTCACTAGCACCTTGAAGAAGAAATCAGGGGCGATGATGCCTTGGGGGGTCATGTCATAGCATGGGGAGTTCTCCAAACACAGCCACCTGGGAGCCCAAAGTAAAGCACTTGTGCTGCCAACCATGGGTGCCAAGCCCTGATTCCTTCCTACACCCCACAGGGGGCTGGGTGAGCATGCTTGGTGCAGCCTTGTCTCCTCGATTCCTTTATTCATCCATCCAGGGAAGCTGCCCAACACCCGCCATGCTGCGGGCTGCTAATTTATTCACTCATCTCCTGCGGCCTTCACGCCTCCATCTGCTCTTTCTTTTACCATGCATTCATCTGGATTCTAGGGTCAGGTACCCATTCCGTGCTATCTCCTCATTCACCCCTTGCTGCCTTCATTCCTTCATCCACAAGTATGTCTTGAACACTTACTAGTTACAAAGTCCCACCTTTTTTCACTTATTCTCCCCCTGATTCAGTAAATAAGCTGAACCCTGAGGAGGTGCAACCCGATTGATTCCCTCGTTCATTCTTTGCAATTCATTTACTCCTGGTAGCATTTTCTGCATTTCATTGCCTCTAAAGTAGTTATTGACCCCTATATGCTAATTTGCTCCCTCATTGTTCGATTCATTCATTAACACCTCCCTTTAACTGTCAATAAATGCCTCCGTGAATTATTCATGTGTTCATTCTTTCATTCAGAAAATACTATGTCAAGTCTATATTCAGGATGTGATCCTGTAAAGGGAGATAGACCCCACACGAGACAGTGGCAGCTCAAGGGGGTTAAGGATGGGGTGGGGAGGCATAGGCAGGTGACCAGTTGTGGGGAGCTAGTGGGGGCCAAGAACAGGCGACTGTCCCAAACTGAAACAGTGGGAGAAGTCCTCCTCCTTGAAAGGGCATCTGATCTGAGAACTGAAGAAAGAACAAGAGGACCCAGCATTCCAGAGGGTCCCGCTCCACAAGGTCAGTGTCCCCCACCTCCCTTGAGGAACACAAAGGCAGTCCCCTGGCTGCAGGCTCTAGCAGCCTCTCAGAGGCATAAGGGATGGCACGCCTGATGGGCAGGTTCGGGGTCAAGGGGGCGTTGCGCACTCACTCGATGCCGGATCTCTCATAAGACATGATGTAGAAGGCCATGTCGTGGGTGGTCTCTGAGGTCTTTGTGGTCCAGATTCTGCTACCTGTTCTGTGCAGGAAGGTGTAATTTTAGTTTGGATGGAGCAAGGCCTCTGTCAGTGCAGACGCCAACCCTGTGCTTGGGGGCGGGACCTGGGTGGGGCTTATCGGCTACTTGGGCGTGGTTTGGGGGTGTGGGCGTGGTTTGAAGGGAAGAGTGGGTGGGGTTTAAGGCAAGGGTGAATCCTGCTTGGCTCCAGGGCTGCAGGGGCAGGACGACTGATTGTGGGCGAGCCCCAGAGGGATTACTTGTCCAGGGGGCTGTTGTAGCGGTAGATTTCCTCCTCGTTGTAGTCTACCATACTGTCCAGCGAGGGCCCGCCTCCCACGACCTTCAGCACGTAGCTGCCGAGAGCAGAGGAGAAAGCACCAGCTTGGGGTCCTGGGTACTGCATCCCCCCGCCCGCCCCCACAGGCCGGTCTCACTTTTACCTTCCCTTAAAGCTTCCAGAGTCTCCCGTAACCAAATCTTGAATCAAGAAGAAGGGGTAGAACACTGTGGAGTCAGAGGGGTTGGGACCAGGAAGAGAAGGAATTAGTTTGGTCCGAGGAGTGGATGGAGGAGTGAGAGGAGCGGTAGGAGAGACAAAGGGGGAGGAGGGTCAGCGCAGAGGAAGGGGGTGGGTTGGTGCATGGTGGGGAGGGGAGCCGGAGGGAGGGAGGGAGGGCAGGGCGGAGCTGTGGAGCTAGCGGGCAGTGAACTATGGAAAGAAGGGACCAGACACACTGTCACGGTAGAGAAAGCAGGGCATCTCGGGGTCCTCCTGCATGCAGTCGAAGTAGTGTTTGTTCTGCTGGCGCATGTACTTCAGAGTGTAGGTGATGTCGAAGGCCAGGCGCTTGCCTGGGGGACAGCCGATAAACACTGGCACCATCAGGTTGCCCTGAGCGGAAGAGAAACCTCTTGCTGGGGACAGCCAGACTGGGTGGGGCAGGGAGCACAGCATCCCTTTGATACACACCACCACTCTGCCTGGCTCACTCCACAGTGACGTTCCTTATTATTATTGAAACAATCTTCCCCTTTTGGGGGGGGTTTTGGGGTATTGAACCCAGGGGTGCCTAACCACTGAGCCACATCTCCAACACCCCCCCCTGCTTTTTTTTTAAAATTTTGAGATAGGTTCTGGCTAAATTGATTAGGGTGTTGCTAAATTGCTGAGGTTGGCCTGGAACTTGCGATCCTCCCGCCTCAAACTCCTGAATGGCTGGGATTACAGGCCTGACCGCCACGTCCCAGGAAACAATAGTTTTAATGACTTATGTAGCTCTTCCTATGAAGAAGCCCCTCAGTGATGCTCTAAGAGCTTTACATGATCAAAGTCCCTTAAGCCTCACACAGCCCTGCATTGTAGACTTTGAATAATCCTGTTTTAGAGATGGCAAAAGTGAGGCATAGAAAAGTCAACCAACTTATCTATTACCTAAATAAGCGCAGCTGTTAAGTGGTAGAATTGGAATTAGAACAGAGTGATCCAGAAACCTTTAGTATATGATGTGTAAAATAATTGACACCTAACACCCATGGAGTGTCAAACTTTTCGTCACATATTATAGGTCTGAACTTGAGTTTGAATTCTCCAATTACGAACTTGCAGAAGAGTCATTAAATGAGGGAAGTAGAGTCTATGATGGGGGTCAGGGTCAGGGAACACCAATGACACTGTCTTCAGAATGAAGAGTCCTTGGGCCGGAGGGTATAGGAGTTTCACCCAATTGTCAAAGGGACCCAGTTATCCAGGGACTGTGGCCTCAGCTTGACAGTGGCTGGGAAGAGGGGCTGGTGGCCATAGAGTGAGCATTTTCCATTCCAGGCCTGGGCCAAAGACTTTACACATATAAGCTCACTCACTCTGGGAGGCCTAATGGGCGTCTGAGACTCAATGTGTCCAGAACACATCTTGGTAAATTGCACCTCCATCCCTTCCAGTGGTTCAGGCTGAAAGCCTTGGCCTCACCCTCTGTTTCACACCTACATCCAGTCCATGAAAATATCCTGCTGTTTCTTGCCTTCGAATAGATCCAGAGACTTAGGGATGTAGCTTAGTGGTACAGCACATGCTTAGGACACATGAGACCCCAGGTTCCATCCCAACATCACAACAAAGAAAAAAATTTTTAAAAATCCAGAACCCACCCTTTGTTTCCTCCAAATCTTCAACTCCTTTACCCCCATCCTTATTTTGTTCAACCTGGTCTCCCTGCTTCTGTTTTTCCCTCCTCGATCTGTCCCTTACATGACAAGCAACCTGATGGATCCTGTGAACACCTGAGTCCCTCGTCTGCTCAGAGCCCCCACCCCTGTGGAGCCAACTCATCCCCCAGGGCTCAGACAATTGGACCTCCATTCTGCTGTGACCTCTTCTTTCTCCATCTTCCCTTTGTTCCCCCGGATTCAGCCACACTTGCTCCTTTAGTTTAACACATGAAATCTCATGTAACCCAAGGAGCCTGGGGATATTATAATTGGACTTTTTACTTCTGGGGTCATTGCAAGTCATAAGGGAGGAGCCTCAGCATCTGTCTGCTGGTGAATGGATCAGGGAAGTTGGGGAGAATAAGAACTCTGGGTCAGCTCCCTCCTCTACAACCTCCTGAGTTACTCAGAGTAGATATCTGCACCTCTCTGAGCCTTAGGTTTTGCCTGTGTACAAAGGGGATACTGCTTGTGCAAACTAGTGAAGAACCAGGAATCCAAAGGAGTCAACACAGAACACGTGAGTGGGCAGAAGTAGAAGCATGTGTGAAAGAAAGGCCAAGCCGTCGCTGCCTTTGTGCCAACTTGAAAAAAGAAGCCCTGCCTCTGGGACACTTTATTTCTCTTTGCAGAAAAGTGCCTTTTACTTTCTGAAACGTGGATGAGGAAAGGAGGGCATGGTGAGTGTGTGAACGATGAAAACCAGTGAGAAAGGGTGGAGCTACAAACGCATTCATGGATTCTAGGACGAGCACTGGGATCAGCCCTGTTGAGACCCTACACAGCCCCTTCTCTCCCACCACGGGGCCCAGTACCCCAAGCTCCAATACTTGCAAGCGGGGCCCAAGGTGTGTGTCCTGGAAGCAGAATCCTGAAGCACCCACCACCTGTGGGTAGGAGCCGGCGATGATGGTGGTACCCAAAGCCCCTGTCATTCCCCTCATCCCACATCCCCTCTCTCCCTTCCGATCTTGGACCGCACCTTGACCATCATGGAAGTCTTCATGAGGTGATGTCCACTAATGCCCTGGTCATAGCAAAGGCTTTTATCCCTGAGAGTAACCTGGAATGATGGGAAAGGAACAGGCAGAAATAAAGAATAGACAGGCTGGCCCGAGATCCAGAGACGGTTCTAATAGGACAACAACAACGGGGCATCATTTCCCACGGGGGGGGGGGGACTAGCGCCGCCCCATTAACTCGGCGTCCACCTTCGTACCAAGGCTCCTCGCCAGGGCTCACCAAGAATAGGACCGAGTTGCGTTTAACGAGAACCTTCTGCTTAACCAAGGATTCCGTGCAGCTGGGGTCAGCCAGCACCACGCCCACCGACACTTTGCTCTGCACCTTGAAGGCGCTGCCTGCCAGGGACAGAAGGAGGAGTTCAGGCCGGCACCTCCCGAAGAAGAAGCACACTCAGGCAGCCCTCGCCCTGCCCCTGGGCCTTCACTTTGGCTTACACACCGACATCAGTGCCCATCTCGAAGGAGTGACCCCGAGCGGTCAGGAAGATGGAGAAGTGGTATTCGCCGCCCTTGTCCAGGAAAATGCGTTCAGGCAGCCCGTAGTGGGACTTGAGGTCGTAGATCTTTTCATAACTACCCATGTCGATGTGCACGCCACCCGTGCTCAGCCAGTTGCTCGCCAGGTAAAAGTAGTAATCCTGGCGGACAAGATGAGCCCCGCGAAATCAGCGACAGCGAGGGGGTCTGGTCAGGGGTGTCTGTGCGCTGCCCTCTCCCACTCCCAACCCTCTCCACTTACCTCGTCCTGTTTCTTGTTTTTCCACCAGCTCCAGGTGGGATCGTGCACCGGGTCCGCGTAAGGCTGCAGGGACCGCGGTACACCGTGAAGGGGTGGGAACAAAGACAGTCCCTAGCCCAGTGGCAGTGGCAGACTCCTTCCCAGTCCCGGTTTCACCCCATAGCAGAAAATATGCACCCCTGGTCCCAAATCTGGCTTTCCATTCAACTTCCACACTTCCCA